ATATTTATACATATTTTAATTTCGACTTTCCACACTCGAAGGAAATCGTCTACTAACATACTTCCGTGAGGTGCTTAACTGAGCTACTGTCAGATTTGAACGGCCCTCATCATCATCATCATTAGCCTTTTTACGTCACCAACTGCAGGAGCTTTGGCCTTTCTTTTGGATGGTTAAAGAGGATGGGCCACGACCCTCCATGCTGGCCCAATGTGGATTGGAGGATATTAACGACTGCAAATACAACCGGGACCAATCGCTTTACATGCCTTCCGAAGCTTGGAGTTGCTTGAGATAATATTTTTTGGTCATCCATCCTGTGCCCGACTTTTGCGAAAGTTGCTTAACAACTACAATCGCGGGCCATGGCACTTATTCACTTCGCCACCGAGCTACTCTGAACCGACCCTCAGACTCGCGTAATATTATATGAGTGTTGTGACCAATGAATAAAGCATTGTGTCCAGCGAAGACTGAAAATACCAACTTTGAAGTACGTATCTACAGCAATTTGTATGTTAAAAAAAAAACAAAAAGAGTATTAACATAAAAAAATAGCAATAAGAGAAAAAAAAATATATAACTCGAGTTGACTTTACGTTCTTAACTTCAGTTGACGTGAATCTAAGTTTTTTAACGTCGCGGAAAAACTTCTGACATTGTCTCTGTTACCTAGCAAGCTACAGGGGTGAGTAGGATTCTCCTCCGTGAACCCGACACTGAGCTGTCCGGTGGTTCCCCAGAGGCCTACCCACCAAAATCCGTACTCTACACCTTCTCATGGTAAATGAAAACCGGCAAGCTATGGCCGAGTCACCAGGACACTCAAGTATTGGACCAGATGGAAAATTGGAGAGACTCGGGTAAATCGAGTGCCTCTCTCAGACAGACGAAACCGTGCAATGCGGGAGCGGCTGCCAATCACCTCCGCTGGCCCCGACGACGACGTGAACCTAATCTGATAAAAATATGCGTTCACTGTAAACTACTCGAGGCTTAATTGCATCATCAGAAGGCTCTCTCCGCTTGTTCTCCTACTCGCGTGATCGTATACCACATGTCCATTATAAACTGAACCCTATTTAATATGATTGGCCATATATAAATGAACTTACTTCGGAGTAGTCAAAATTTTGGAATCTTATTTTTTTATTCGTCATCATACAAATTATCATTTTATAGACAATATTAATTCGTAGTTCGGTAGCGCTACGGATATGCGCCGCTGCACACGATCGCTATTGCTAAGCAATTTTCGCAAGAGTTGTTCACGGGATGGGTGACCAAAAATTATTAAACAAAGGCCCGAGGCCCTGCAGTTTGGCTGTGAAAGAATTAATGATGATGATCAATATATCAAAGACAAAAATTTAATAAAGCAGTTAATATTTCATAGCAATTTTGGCGACCACGTCACTTCAAATTGACATAACTTTTTTATTTGTGAACCGATTGAAATAAATCTTACACTAAATATTAACGGAAGAATGCCGCAAAATAATAGTGAAAACTGCATTTAAATCGGTTCAGCCGTTTCTGAGTTTATCGTGCACAAACGCACAGACAAACAGACAAACCGACAAACAGACAAACAGACAAAAAATCTAAAAATCATTGTTTTGTGTTCTATTACTCTTATAAACGGCCCCCATAACTTTTTTTTTCATATATCTTCAATGTACAGACATCGATCGGTTACGTTTTTATTATAGTATAGATATTGATCACAAATAAAATGTAAAAGAAAAATTAAACTAAATATAAAACTATATTAGTTTCCAATTTTATCCTAAATTGCCTCATTTTCTATGTGTATTTATATTTTTTTAAATATTTTTTATTGCCATTTTTTTGTAAAAAAAGGTCGTACATAGTTTTATTGAATTTCTTCAGGTGCCCTTCTATAGCTTTAAATGAGTAGATTTGGATTATCTTGGGGTTATATATACATAGTGTAATGTAAAATTATGTTTACATGTGGCGCTGAACGCTAATTGAATTGGCGCTGAAAGCAGTAAAAATTAGGAATGAAACAGAAAACAGGGGCATCAATGTGAACAAACAGCAAATCAACTGTTACAACAGTAGAGTAGGCAACACTGTACAGGACCATGGCGAAGTCACTGGCGATCATATACGAGGGTCAAACTGAAAGTTCTTAGAAAATCAAAAACTGATTACATTAGCCAGTTATTAGTTTTATTATATCTTTTCAAAATATTGTCCATTCACGTCAATACACCGCTGCATGCGATGGAACCACTGGGAAAAGCACTTTGCCCACTCGTCCTTAGGGGTCTCTTCAATGGCATCGCGATACGCAGCCACCGCTTCTTCAGCATTCATAAACCGCTTTCCTTTAAGTTTTTCTTTAATTTTTGGAAATAAATAAAAATCACAAGGCGCGAGGTCGGGGCTATACGGCGGGTGACCCAGTAATTCAACGTTTGATGTCGCCAAATAGTCGATCGTTCGCTTGGCGGTGTGCGACGAGGCGTTGTCGTGGTGAAGGAGGATCCTACTGCGAGGTCGTTTCTCTCGAACTTTTTCCAAGACAAGTGGCAAACAATTGGTAGTGTACCATTCTGCAGAAACTGTTTTTTGATCCTCTAACACAATTGTTGCAAAATGACCTATCCTTCCAAAGAACGAGGCCACCATTTTTTTTCCCGCACTTCGATCTCTCTTCACTTTAGTTGGCAACTCCTCGAAAGGAAACACCCACTGAGCAGATTGTCTTTTGGTTTTAGGATCATAACAGTAAATCCAGCTTTCGTCACCTGTTAGTATGTCGAACACAGCATTTGAGTCACCTCCGTTAAATCTTTCAATCATTTTACGACACCAATCCACACGATGGAGTTTTTGAGCCTCAGTCAAATTATGAGGTATCCACCGGGCGCAAAGCTTCCTGACCGCTAAATGTTCGTGGAGGATTTTGTGCACTTGACTCATACCGATGCCTAAGCTTGTCCGAATCTGTTGATAGGTCACTCTTTTGTCAGTCTCTATCATACGCCGCACAACACAGATGTTATCTTCAGTCGTCGCCGTAGAAGGCCGTCCCTCACGTAAATCATCAGTGAGATTAGTGCGACCACGTTTAAACTCATTAAACCAGTTGTAAACAGTCGCACGAGATGGGGCTTCATCGTGAAAGGCCAATCGTAGTCTATCATAACTTTCTTGTTGACTTAAATGACATCGAAAGTCATAAAAAATCATTGCACGAAAATTTTCTCGTGTTAAATTCATGATGACGTGACACAGACAATTTTCAATTTGCCGCCAAATCGTAAAACAAATGACAAATGAATGAAATATATACTCAGTAATATTGGCAAAGAGTTATATTTTCAAATTTTAGAATTATTTTTTTATTATATTGTTTATAAGTGGCCAGTTCTAAGAACTTTCAGTTTGACCCTCGTAATACTAAATAATCTAAGTAAACCAGTGTTATCAAGTGTTAACACGTTCAATCTCGGAAGTTAAGCAACTATCGCAAGGACCGATCATAGGATGGGTGACCAAATTTTTTTTATCTCGAACATGGATATCTTGGCCTGTTCTTCCTTGAATAGGAAGAACAGGAATTAGCTTTGATTTTATTACAGCAATCGATATGGTCTGTGCCCTAGCAGTGGGGACAATTAGTAAGCTGATGATAGTGATTAGTACAGTTTTTTCATGGCAAAAGTAATGACTACTAACCGTTTAAACAGAGCTGAAGCCAGATGAATATAAATTTTACAAAAACCTTATAATTCAATGGTAGAGAATGTAAACTTATAATTACCCCCGTGTGGAGTAACCAAGTTAAGATATAATTAAAACTTTTGCTTTAACTGTGGGTGGTTATTAAGGAACTGTTTGGATGATTTACGTGTATAATTTTACGGGCTACGAATTTATACTCTCTCTGATTGGTTTATGAATTGTTGATGTTATAATTTTAGGTTATAATTTGACGTATTTTAGAATTTGATTATTTTATTTGAAAATATCAAATACGCTGCGAGACCAAGGTATATCAAAGTAGGTAGATATTATTCTTTGATCTTGCAACGAAGAGCTTGTAAAAAAAGTAAATAAGGAAAAGTATCGCTACCTTTCCTCCTTTTGAACAGATAAAAAAACGTTGTTTATGATACAGAGACCTTAGACTTCCAGACAAAATATTCGAAAACTCGGCAGTTGTAAAGTAAGAAGATCAAGATTTAAACCCCAAGCAATAGTTGCTTGGCGTCTTGTTCATTAACAATAAGTTGACCAGGCGTATTGATTCAAAGGAGAAGGCAATGTAGCTTTACTGTGTCGTCTTAGATCCGGTATAAGACTGGCATTCCATTGGAGCTTAAAGGTTTCCTTAGACTAAAGTCCTGAATTCAGTTAAATTATCATACATTCAGAATATTTGTTGTTTTAAGGCATTAAATTATAGAACTTAGTTACAGCAATAGCCCTTGTACATAAACGTACTTAATTAACCCTAAGGCATTCTCTATAAAGAGTTTCTACCTCCTTTTTTGTCCTGGCTGTGTATAATTTTCCAACATTCACGCCGTCAGTACCATCGCTATCGCATGCGAAAGCGAACCAACAAAAACCTAGTTATATGGCAATGTTCCGCATGTGCTTTGTCTCGCTCTATTATTAGTTCATCGGAATATCTGCATCTTTATCAGATACTGTTTCGTAGGCTGTAAACATCGTTGTTACACAGACGCAGATTTCGCATTCGCAATAGTTTTACTTTCGCAAGCGTAAGTTGGCGTACTAATGGCGTAAAAGTACCTATGTCTATTTTTTTTTAATTAAATTTAATAATTGTTTCAGGTAATTAGTTAGTCACTGAGACTAATATTCCAACATGTTTATAGTGAGTAAAACTTATAGTGATTAACAAAACAATGGGGACCTCGAACGGAAAGAAATTTAAAAGTAGAATGCTTCTGATGAGTGGGTGACATAATTAAAAAAATATATTAAAAAGTAAAATGTCATCTGAAGTATCTCTGGAGGCGCATGAACGGCCGACTTGGCTGCGTCGAGTGGCAGGTGGTTGCGCACGCGCGGCGTGCTCTCAAATAGGGTTGGTGATACTTGTGGTTGTGTATGTACTACTTGGTGCGGTATTGTTTGAGTATTTGGAGTCGGGACCGGAGGTGCAGAAGCGGTCGGCAATACAGAGGTCCAGGGAGGAGTGCTTGAAAGAGTTGTGGGCTATAACAGGTACGTTTTAGTATTTATATTGTTCTTTTAAATTATTTATTTTTACAACTGTATGTTAAAGCTACAATTATTTTAGAAGAAACATTATAGCGCATTTCTTTTGTACAAATGTGTTGTTACAAGTATTAAAAGTGTTATTTACAAAAAAAAGTTATTTGGATTTAGGAACTCTCCAAAAAAAGAGTGAGTAGGCATTAACAATATTCAGCCACATATTACTTATCATCATATCATTAGCTCAGATAGTATAAAAACTTTATAATAGGTCTTTACCTATGAAATTGCCGTTCTGCCGTACTGGCCATTTCAAATCAAAATATTTATTTTGGCTGGTAATTCTAATTTCAAATTAATTTTACTTTAAAAACATGATTGTTTTTTTTTTCTAAAATCGTCATTTATTTAATAGTTAGTATTTTGTTTTCAACGCATTTGAACATTTTTCGTCATCATGGATAAATTAAAAATTCGAGTAATTATGGAGTATTAGTACCTTCATGGTAGCAAAGCAGCACAACCGGCACTCAAAATCAACGACGTTCACGGAGCGAACACTACTAACGAACGCACCATCCGTTTTTTTGTTAGCCTGCTTCCATTCTGGAAATTTTGACCTGAAAAATGAACCAACCCCGTGGTCGTCCAAAAACTTTGGTCGACAAAGACGAATTAAAGGCGCTTGTGGAAGCTAATCAAACTCAATCTACGTCTGAATTAGCAGAAGCCTAGGCAAGGTATAAAAGCTTGACAAATGGGTTCTCAATAAACTCAATGATCGCCAGCACGAAGTACGCGTCCAGACGTGCCTTACACTGCTCAACACTAATACAAATGAAGAAATTCTGAACCAGATTGTTACTTGTGACGAGAAATAGATCCTGTTCGACAATCGTAAGCACTCAGCAAGTTGGTTGGACCTTGGTTTAGCACTCAAACAATGCCCTAAACGAAAACTTACCCCTAGAAAAGTGATGGTCACTGTTTGGTGGTCCCGCGTTAGGTGTAATTTATCACAGCTTCTTACCAAACGGGACGAGCATTACTGAAGATGTGTGCTGCGAAGAACTAAATAATGATGGAGAATCTCGCATGTCTCCAACCAGCTTAGGTCAATCGTTCGGCTCCACTGCTTCTGCACGACAACGAGCGACTTCATACTGCACAGCAGACAGTCTTCAAGCTAAAAGACCTGGAGTTGATAGTTCTCCTTCATCCACCGTACTCACCAGACCTTGCGCCTACAGACTTCTACTTTTTTTTAGAATTTGGAAAACTTCTTGGCGGGAAAAAAAATCAATACCCGAGAGGCAGTACAAAATGCCTTTGAAGATTTTTTTGCCTCCCGTCCAGCTAATTTCTTCAAGAAGTTCTTCAATAAGCTACCTTGGCAAAAATGTATTGATTTCATGGGTGATTAGTGATTACTTTAATTAATAGAAACAAAAATATATAAGAAAATACGCTTCATCTATTTCATGAAAAAACGGCAATTTCATAACTAAAGACCTAATATACATTTTCCCACTACTATAATCGAAATACAATAGTTTTTATTGTTATATTTTTCAAGTATACTTCTTTTTTATCTTCTTTTAATATTTAATTTATTTTTTTTAAATGCTTTTATATCTCTCTAAAACACTTGTTATTTGAAAGAAAATATCCTTAGCAAATCCATTTCTCTGAACGAAGACATTGCTTAGAATAGTGGACATTTATTTCTCTTCTGTATAAATCTCTGTTGTATATTTATGAGAAAGGATACGCAAGGCTTTAGCTCCTTCAACTTTTGTATACTAAAATCTAACTAATTCTTAAGTTTATTTTGGAATTAAACGTGAAAGGTTTTATTTAATTAATTATAAGTTTTTAAGTAATTCGTGCTCTGGATAAACTTATGTAGTCTTTAAAAGTTAAATAAACTTTAAAATAAGTATTAATTAATGAATTAATAAAAACTTACGATGTATTAATATTGTCATAAAAAATCATGTTTGATATATATTTTTTTTATATTGTGGGAATCTTTTAATGAAAATATCGACAGTTCCATTAATACGAATCAAATCATTGTATTTACGTCACATCACATTCTTACAATCGGGTTATGAAAGACGTATTGTTTTTGTAGACTTGGATTGAAAATGTGTTAGAGTAACGTGGCTTATTGATACATTCATCCAATTGGATGAAAAAAAAAACAATCTTTTGGTTACTGCCACTCAGATTGGTATGTTTACATTGGTACTCCTATTATTCATGATGTTTTCAACATTCGCCTGTGCGTGCGTCCATCTCCAATTACCACTTATATCCATTTATCCATTTATATACAAAGACTAGTCTTTAATCATATATGTATGATTATAATTCAATTGTAACAAAATTAAATAAAATTATCAATTAATACTTTTATTGTTAGTGAAATAGATCACTATCGACTATCGATATTGTAAATTTAAATATAATCTATGTTCAATTAAAAAAAAAGAAAATGTTTCAAAGAAAAGAACTTGATATTCGAAATTCAAATTATGTTTTCACTCAGTCTGGCTAGCGGACTCTAGACGATCATGTGGCATGAATTACATGACTGTAATTAATCATATCTCTGCTGCGAATGACATGTAAATTCGTATCAATTAGTGTGTTTCTACAATAAAAAATAATTCATTCATTCATACAATTACATGGCCATGCATGCATACCAGCACGTAACGTATGTCATGTCCCATGATCGTTACATTGCAAGCATTTATCAAAATCCACAAAATATACAATCGGTTCGCAAATACCTTGCATTGCAATAAGAACTAGCTTTTTTGATATTCATGTTATACAGAGAAATCTTATTTAAAAGTTGATTTTGCTAGACTATGACGTCACTATTTTTTGCAATTCCGTATCCTCATTGATAATTAATATAGAATTTATAATGTCGATAGTTTAACTTATTGTTACACTAAAATCAATAGCCCCAATTATACTACTACATTTCGTTTTTGCTTTATCTATCTGATTTAAAGATACACGGATCATTTGACAGGTCCATAATCAAAGAAAGGTTTGCTTTGTCAACTCTGGACACAGGGGAAATTATGTTGAGTACAAGTTGAGTACCCTCGTAAGTCAGCGTTCAAAAGAACAAAATAAGTCCCATTTTTTTGGCCCGGAAATAAGACAAAAGAATTATGTAGATAGGCCACCTTCGCAGTAACGATATTCTGCTATTCGATTTTGTGATCCTTTATAGAATGGAACGGCTACTTTTTGTTATTCCAATTTTACTTTTGTTTTACTAGTGGTGGGTGGGTTGGAAAAGGTTGAACACCATTAAGATTTCACATTCCTTACTTCACATATAAAATGTAAATGATTCAATTTGGTTTATTTCTAACTCTGTTTGGAAAAAGGAACATATTATTGTATTTATATTGACATTGAATTTACTCCGAGATTTAAATATTGAATATTGACTCGAGTGTGTGTTGTGGTAACTTCATTGTCTATGCTACTCCCTAATGCGAGGGCTTTACTTACCTTCGAATCTGAGCAATTAATGTGATATTATGTATAAGGAGGAACATTAATTACAATTAACATGATAAAAATTAAAATCGCAAAATCACAATTTCTTCTATTAAAGACTCTGAATGGATAAAAAAGTCAGTCAGACTCGAATTTCAAAAGAAAGTTTTCAAGGCATTTGAGTAATTATCAGCCTTCAGCTATTAGCATTAAAAATTACTATTACATTAGCATGACAAAGTATTTACAGCGACGAAGAAGAATGGAAAAAAATTACGTAATCGACTTTCAACTAATATTTACTTGGAAATTAAACTCGGAATTTTTGAATTTCAATAGGTGTCTGACTGTGCGAAAAGTCTTTTATTCGTAATACAAGGCAATTTGTCAGTGTGTCTTAACGATGAATTGTCATACTAAATCAAAATGGGTAGGGACACGCGAAGCTTTTCTGCAAATTATACTATTTTTTTGGCATTATAAGGAAACATAATACGCCATGAATCGTCTATCTACTAAATTCTCTCTGTCATTTTGTTTTAGACGCCATCTTATCTTTGGAATTGATACATTTTCAACATAGTATATCTACGATTCTTCTTGTTAAATCAGGCACTATTGTCAGAGTGGTCGTGGTTCCTTGATAAGGATGGGGAACAAGGAGAGACGGCGTAAGGCGCTCTTAAGATCATCTTCATCTTTCTCGACGGTATGCCTCTGAATGATACATCTCCATCTCGGCCGGTTAATAGCGTCGGGAGTACATTGACAATTGTAGACTCAGTAGCTCCCTTTATCAGGTCAATCCATTCTATTGCCTTCCACTTTGCCTTGAATAACCAGTCTCTCCATCTAACTCTCATTTCTAGAGATGTGACCAAAGAATTTTAGTCTTTTAATTTTACAGTCAATGAAAGCAGGTCTTTGAGACAAAGATCCTTGAGGATGGAAACATTGATTTGTATCGCTATCTACGGGATAATAATGACCTCATACGTCCCAGCACCTCATACGATACATGCGTACGATATTCAACCCCTTTCATTTTATGAGCATATCGAGAGGTTATAAATATCTGCTGTTTAAAATTTTCTAATGGCATGATCATCACCATCTCCAGTCTTTTAATGTCTGTGCTGGGGCACTTTCAGACATGGGGTCAAATAGCATCGAATAGGAAGAATGGGCCATGACGGTCCCAGTGTGGATTGGTGGGTATTAACGACCGCAAATGCTGCCAGGACCAACGACGTAACCTGCCTTCCCAAGCAAGGAGGTTCGAGATAATAAATTTTTGGTCACCCATCCTATGACCGACCATTGCGAAAGTTGCTTAACAACCGTATCGCAGACTAATCGTGCTAGGAACAACCGCCATCGAGCTCCTCACATCTTGATATTAAGCAACAATGCACATAATTACCTCATATCTTTGTTGTATTGTTATCATTACTAGAGATTTTAAAGTCGTTTTAAAGACTTACGGTAAGATTTATTTTATGAGACATATTTTAAATAAATAACTAAGATTGACAAGTTTCTTAACTAATGTAAACTTTGATGAAGTTAATCGGAAGATTTTGTGGAAGAAAATGTACTACACTGCTTTCCCCGCTGAAATTGAAAATAGATTTATTTCGTTTGCCAAAGGTCGAGCGCTATTAATTGAATACTATATTCAAAGTGAAAACAATTTGCCACAAGTTATTAATGATTGGACGACAGATGGCGCTGACCCTTTGTGTCACACCTTGGTTATTGACAATGAAATATAATAGGTCTTTGTTTAAGGTGAAACAAAAGAGTATCTACAACGTTAATTTGTAACTGAAACGAGAAAAATCAATGCGGTTTTAAAAATGTATCATGGATTTTTTTTATTCAGTGTCAATTTATTTGAGCGTAATTAAGACTATCATTCCAAGGAAATTCAGGAGAGTGGAAAACAAAAAAGATACTTTGTATTCGCAATACGTATTTAAGAATTTTATGATTTCAATATGGCACGTTTTACAGAAAAAAAGAAGAAGTAAATATCAATAATATCCGTACTAAGAATGAATAAATGTTTTTAAAGATAAAATTATAACGGAAGAATTCATTGTTTATTGAAAAAAAGACTAGATAGTAAAATGTCGTCTGATTAAAAAAGTAAGTACCGCAACAGTTTAAGGAACTAAACAATTTTCAGCGTATTTTTGTAGCGGAAATAACTAGTTTAGAATTCGATAGAAACTATGTCAGACAACACATATTGTGTTTGGTTCAATTTGTAGTATTTGCGTCCCAAATATAATTGTTTTCCACCTCCAGCACCACAGTGATATGCTTGTACTGTAAAGTCTGTAACGCAAATACGAAACAATTTTCGGAAGAACCGATCATAGGATGGGTGACCAAAAATTTCTTTCGAACTTTTTCTTCTGAAAAAATCTTGAACTTCTCTGTGTATCGGAAGGCACGTAAAGTCGTGGATCCCAGTTGTATTTGTAGTGGTGAACAACCCACGTGCCCTCGTGGTGAGTTATATCCGGTTCTTCCTATTTCTTTCCATTCACAAGGAAGCCAGCATGTCAATTCTGGTAATGTTTACGTCAATAGATGCATGTCAAAAGAATGTCAACTACTTGCATTTCACCATTGTACCATCTAACTGAAGTCCAATATTATAAGTACAATATGTGAGCACTTGAATTTGTATTTCTAATGTTAACTTTCGTAGTATCGAAACGTGGATCACTCAAGACACAGTCAATAGACTAGAATTGGCTCAAGGGGACAACAGAGAGAAAGCTGCTATTAGTGACCCTAATTGACCACTAAACAAACAAATGAATAAATCAAACTTCCAGATGTAATAATTAAAGTGGCACACCTGAAATAGACGGAGGTAAACGTGTTGTTCGTTAAATCCTGACATGACCTGACAATGTTCAAGCAAACACCTTCTCAAGTAGAAACCGAATGACGACTATTTTGTTAAAAAAAAAATTAAGATGCCAATCTTAGTGGTGGGGTAGGTGGTGGGCGAGGTAACTGCGGCTACACTATTGGCTAGTGGAAGGACACATATTCCGTAGTCATGGAAACGATCGATATTAAATGTTACTATAGGATATTTTAATTCACAATTTATAGCACTATAAACTAATTGATGGACAAGGCATCAAATGGAAAGGTTTCGCCTAAAATCACCAACCTACAATCAGTATGTGAGAATAACTTTCAAAAATCAATTTTGTACAAAGAAATATGTTCAAATAACTTGTAATAAAAAATGGAAGAACATCATCATATTTTAGATATATCTATACTAACCAAAACGTGAATTTATAACCGCTATAGAAAAAAACAAAGTTCCCAAAAATTATCAATTTTTACATTTCTTATAGCACTGGTTTACCTACTATACTTTCTAATTTAAAGCTATGATAAAATGCATTGAGACATAAAACATACATAAAAATTATTGTTACGCGCTCTGTGCTCCTATCAAAATATTAAGTTAAATCTTCTTGACGAAAAATATAAAAGTTGCAAACTTTGGACTTTTAAATAATGAACGAGTATTTAAATAGGATGGAAATTATTAATGAAATGCATATTTTCTGAAATATCTTAAACTGTTTAACACAGATACTGTAGGTATATGTTAAATATTGTTTATTAACCTCTGAGTACTTTTGTGTACTAATTTGTGCACTGAGTACAATTTTTTCCTGTAATAGTAGCAATACCAAACAATGTTTAGGTATGGAAATATCGATATCGATCACACTTAGAAAAAGCATGCAGTAGCGATACTATTGTTACGCGTGTCTTTGTCAGAATGAAATAAATATAGTAATTTAGTAATGAGAGAAAGGGATGAGTTTCAAAAAGACATCAACGCGTGCTGTATTTTTATGAAATTATATTGAGTTGTCCACTATAACTTGAACTCCGCGAAATAGAAATACAAAGAAAATTTTTATTACTGGTGAAAAGTTATACCTTTTTTTTTGCAATTCGATGTTCTGGATAGTTTTCCACACCATTTGCCATGGTTAACTTTATTATAAAGAAAAGTCTTCTCGTCAAAGCATAGGTATAATCACAGATCG